ATAATAGTCGTATTAACTGATCTTCCTTGTAGGCATATGGATATTATCCTATCACTGACAACGTTGTACTTTAGGATAGATCTTGAAACCTTTTTTTGGTAATAAATGTGAAGCCATTCCTCTTCAATTTATCGTTTCCAGCATAGTATACCATATGATTGTCCAATTCAAAATGGTCAATACCATTCCATTTCAGCTCACTAATGCCTAGGATATTGATGTTTATGCTTTCCATTTCATTTCTGACAATTTCCAATTTTCCCAGATTCATGCTTTGTATACTCCATGATCCAATTATTAATGGGTATTTGCAGCTGTTTCTTCTTATTTTGAGTCATGACACATCAGCAAATGAAGGCCCCAAAAGCTTAACTCCATTCACATCATTAAGATTGACTCTGCTTTGAGGAGACACCTCTTTCCAGTGGTATTTTGAGTGCCTTCCAACTTAAGGGGCTTATCTTCTGGCATTATTTCAGACAATGTTCTGCTGCTATTCATGATGTTTTCACTGGCCAGTTGTTTCAGAAGTAGACCAATAGGTCCTTCTTCCTAGCCTTAGTCCTGAAGCTCTGCTGAAACCTGTCCACCATGGGTGACCCTGCTGGTATTTGAAATACCTGTTGTATAGCTTCCATCATCACAGCAACATGCAGGCCACCACGGTAGGACAAACTGACAGATATGTGATGGTGAAACAGGATAATGGGTATATTTTGCCTATGATTAAAATTGTTCAAAAGAAGATTTAAAAATTGTGAAATATACATGCAGAACAACATGTAAAGCACGTATGTACAGGTTAATAGGTAATGATAACCTAGGTTAAAAATTAGAACTTCGCATTACCCCAGAAGCCACCCATGTGCTTCTTCTCAACCATAACCTTCTTCAGGTACTTTGGTGATGCAAATAGGTTGTGCTTGTCTGCTAATCTGAAGGCTGGTGGTTCGAAACTACCCAGGGGCACTATGGAATGAAGGTCTGGTGATATGTTTATGTAAAGATTAATCCGAGAAAACCCTATGGAGCATTTCTAGTCTGTAACACATGGGGTTGCCATGAGTCGGAATTGACTCAATGGCAACAGGTTTGGTTTTTTTTTGGTTTTTTCTTTATAAGTAACTATCATCCTGACTTTTCTTGCTTTCCTTTATAGTTTGTTTTTACCACCTTAAATAGTTTAGTTTTGCTCATTATAAGTTTATATGAAAGATTTATTTTTAAGTTTATACGAGTTTATATCAAAGAAAGTATTTGTGTTCTTTTGTGTCTTTCATCTTTTACACATCATTGTGGAATTTATCCATATTTTACATGTAGTTATAGTTTATTACTGCATAGTATTCCATTGTATGAAGACGTTGCCCTTTCTTGTGTGTTGTTTCCAGTGTGCTATATTTTCTAGGATCTATCCCAGTTTTATTTCCATATCTGTTTATTAGATCCCAGAAAAACTAGATGATGGTGCTGGAGAATAAGAAAATGACTACCCTCCCTTCTCCAGTGCCATCGGCTTTATCTATTCTCTGTTTGATGTATCTCCAGCGAAGAACCAAGCAAGTGCTCAATCTAGTCTTTTTTTTTTAACTTTCTTAGGAAAATATATATCAAAACATTT